TGACTGAATAACGTAAAACACTGCATTACAATATTTCTATTTAATCTCCCAACTTTTAAAGATTTTATCCAGTCAGGTGATGAATGACTTTTCATATGTAGTGCAGTTTTGGTTCATCAGCTTTACAGAGACATGAAAAATACATATAATACCATTTCTTATTTAGTACACTGTAGTACAGCGACTATCATTGTAGTACTGTAGTACACTGTAGTACATCGATGGTACTGTAGTATTGCAGCAATGTAGTATAGCGACTACATTGTAGTACATCGTCGGTATTCTGCACCCTGACATATGCTGTTCTTTTTCAAAGCCTCCTGAGATTAACTTTCAGCTCGATGATGCGACCACATAATGATTTGCCTTTGTCAAATATTTTACTGGCCAGCTAGATAACCACATATCTATCCGTTAGAAGGCATTTGGGATATAATAAGCAGGTATCTCCCGAAATCTCGGAATGTCGCCGTCCTAACTTAACAGTAGGAGAGGGTTTTTCAAGAAATCTCGCAGAAGATCATTCGCCAAATCTACGAAGTAATGCCAAGCCCAATAACAGCAAAAATTAAAGTCAGAACACATTCGTTGATACTCACATTCAGATATTTATCTTAAATCCAATTATTTCAGCTAAGCCCACGTTGAGACCTGAATGCAAAATTTTTGAATTGAGCTTCTTAGGAGAGATCTGATGAATAGAAAAGAATAAATAAAAGCAGAGGCAATTTCTGCTCTGAAATCCATGAAACGGTCTGAGAATCAAGCATAGTCCTGGCAAAAGTAAAGCCATCAATCATCGGAAAACGGGGAAAGGTGTATCGCGTGATGTTAGGCAATGCATCCTCATGCAGGGGAGTAAAAATTTAATTTTGCTCTTCTTTTTCTGTGATTTTCACTAATGTAAGTGCACAGTTTTGGTTTTTGAAGATTCAATTTAGCCTTCTTGCACTTTTAAGTAATTTCCAAGAATTTATTAAGAAGATTGTATTTTCCCGAATACTTAGCAAATCTCTTACAGGAACTGAACTGAGATCCTCCGCCGCATGCCCAAAGAGATTTTCACGGTACATGCTCTACTGTATTAGGAAGCTCTTGGCGTTTTTTGCTAAGAATAGCTGAAGCGTTCTTAAGATTTCTTGAACTGAATTCGGGGTACAAGGGACATCTTTAAAAGATACCAAGTTGTTTGATTTGTATCTGCTAAAAGTTTGTTTAACTTTTTATTTTTTGGGGGAGTTAGTAAGTTCGAATAAATTTATAATGCTAACACTGTAAATATCTCAGCGAATTATTATATCTGCTTTGGCGATGCCCGACATATTATGATCTAAAACAAGCCACGAGATTTTCTGCCCGTCGATAAAGCAGAATGGCCATGTTTAGAAGTATTAACTTTGCCTGGATATTGAATCGTCTCTCTTATCTGATTTGAATTCTTATCTGGGCACCAAACCTGGAAGAAAAATATCGGAAGCTTCTCTTCTTCCTTATTTTTTCCTGAAGAGTTGTTTAATTTTTATGAGAGGGAACCCGTTGTTAGAAAGTTCGTGCTTATTGTCTTATGAGTTTATTTCACGTGGCAATTGATCTTTGATTTATTATTTTGATAGCAGCCTCTGCCTCAATTTAGAAAGTGTTAAACTGTAATTCGACTTTCAGCTAAAACTAGGTAACTCAACGCCGTTTCGCTCGTAGCGCTAGCGGTAGACGTTAGTTTGATATATTCCTTGATCAGAGTTCCGATGAAGTCATCTGTTCTGGGCTGAGAGAATGCTGAACATATTTTCTTTCGTGTAACTTTAGACCAGAGATAAGCCGATGCGATATGGATTTTTTTGCTGCGTGTAGTAGACTTTAACCAGTTATTGTTTCATGCAGTTTTTGATTTCTGCGATCAGTTAGTTAATTACACTGCAGTCTTTAAAAATAAGGTTATAAAAGTGCATTTGGATGTGCTACTGTACTTTACGTATGATACATAAGCAGAAAAACTTCTTAAAATTGTTTGAAATGTTAGGTATACATGCTGCATTATGTAACTATTAAATGTCATTGAAATTCTAAGGATCATGTGAATTTCTCATTTCACCCAGGAATCTTGGTACCTGTTCATATTTTACAACGTAATTCAGTTTTAACTATATATCTCTAATTGAGCGGACCCGAATACTTCAAAGACGTATACAGAACCGTCTTTCATGAGCTCAGTTCTCTTATATCACTGATGTGAATTTTTCGTTCCTTACTTGTACAGGGAGTGAGAGAAGTAAGAACTCTTAGTGCTTCCTGGGATCTTCCAGGAACTTCGCTTCCTGGGATCGATGAAGGTAACCGCTTACCGATGCAGAAATTCTGTCAACTGGACTAAATCGTGTTTCCCATCCATCCCAACCCTCTAGCACTTCGCTTGAAGCGTGAAATTAGGATGGAAAAGCATCTCCTCAAAGCTTAGAAACGCTGTATATTAAAACATTCCCCTAACTACATGCAACTAAACCGTTAAAAAAGGAGCATTTACGAGCAAATAAAGTTACGTCATAATATATATTAGTAAAGCCATTGCTTTAATTAAGCTCTTTCATTATAACTTATAATTAGACTTTACTGAGACACGAATTTCACCGAAAACGTTCCGCAATTTTGGAGTTCTGTGGTATCACGAATACTTTTTTTTTATCACGAAGTAAAATAAATTTACAAATTTCAAAACTTGCCTATTATTTTTTTAATTTATATAACACTTCTTGAATTTTTTTCATATTTAAATAATTTTCATCCTAATTATAAGGTATTTTCCCTCTTCTTTTAGTATGCCTTCGCGGTGTTACGGTAGCACACTCGGCACATATTCGAGAAATGGTAATTGTGATGTAAAATAATACTTCTGAATACGCTTCCAGTATCTGATTAGGTTATAAATATAGATTTCAATTTAAAAGCATATAGTATAATGTTTAGTAAATTACGTATTGGCTACTTGTGACATTGGTCGTCTTTAGTAGACATACCTCCGCCAAGATGTTAAATAGGAATTCTCAATCAAGAAATTTTCTCGAAATCTTGGATATAAAACCCAGACCGTGAAGGTTTGGCGAATTTTTAGTTTCTTACGCCGCAGCAAATTTAGAATTTTTTCCTCTCTTTTTCGTTTTCTGCTGCACTCACAAAAGTTTATTTTTTAACAAATAATAGTTTGGAAAGTCTCTTGACAACAGCAAGTTGTCGAAAGAATATTTGATAGCACTGCGCTTACATTTTTTGCTCTGATTGGCAAAATTTCAAAATGTTTAATTGGAGCCTTCAAGACTTTATTCAGAATTTTCAAGGCCAGTGTTTTCTGTACGGCCCAAAAAATAGAAAGAGAATGATTTGTAATTGATAATTCTCGAAAATTTTATAATAATAATAATGCTTATACATTGAATGAAATAAAACATTTTCTCTGAGATAATTGCTTTAAGATAGCGTTTCTCTATTTATTTATCCAATGGAAACCCATGTAATACTTATTAGGTCTCATGAAACCCCTGCATCCTAAGAACCATGGTGGTATAGTTCTCTATATCCATTTGTGAAGAATTACATATTTATATGCTTCCTATGAGTCGTTAGAGTCAAGAAATCTATCTGGCGATATGAAAACCACAGGATCGATCCCTCCAAGAGCACAGTTTAATTTTCAGAATTCTTTGTCATAAAAATATAAGGATTCTAAAACAGCGCCTGAACTAAAATGTGATGTCATTCCTCAACACATTGACTACTTCAGTCACTCAGTCGCTCATCGCATATGTGTGTGTATAGTTTGGAAGTGATACATCGTAAGTAAATTATAAGAAGTCATGTGGTTAATATATCTGTCAAATGGAAGGTCTCGTGTTCACTTCCGCAAAAGAACAGCTGAATTTTCAGAATTCGTTCTTACAAAAGGCCAGAGGATTCTACAAATTTATTTTCTTTTACGTATTAATCTAATATTTTATATATTTTCTATTATTTGCAAACATTGGCTTATGTTCATTTGTTTATTTCAAATGAAATGTGTGTGTTCTTTCACTCACGTTGAGTTCAAATAAATTATTCATATATTCGCTAATTTCAAGTCAAATAAACAATATTTATGTGACGTTGTAAGATTAAGTCTTCTTTGCTAACTTACACTGTAATTAGATCTACTTTAAAGTCTATGCTGTGACCTTTCACCAAGTCTCATGGGAAGTGTGTAGACTATTTTATTGAACGCAATAGGTTAAGATTTACGTGTTTACACAGTCACCAACCAATTGTGGTGAGGAACTTAAAAGAAAATGTAACAACTAAATTGAAAGGTAAATTATAGTGGAAGACTACTCAATTCGATTTAATCTAGAAATTTCTGAGGTTGATTCAAAAAGCTACAACGATGAAGCAGAGATTTCGGTAGCAAGAATGCGAAGCCGAGATTCAAAGTTCAAAGCTGGTGCGCTCTTAATAACTAAACCATCCTTTGACTAACCTTTTCGTTACTTCAATTTATATACTTTGTAGGCCATTCTAACTAATTTACATTCTGGCGAGGAAAAGGCGGAAGAAAACAGAAGGAACAGGAAAAGCTAACAAATTAAAATAACTATTAGTAAAATTAATATACCTCTGTTTAATTTCTAGATGCGTAAAGAAAGTCATCTAAATGGCACGCAATAAGAATTTAAAAGTGTTCATGTGAAATTTATAATTCTTTTCGTCAATTTAATATATAGTTATTAGCTGTTTCATTTAAAAACTCCTAATCAGAAGTATTATAAAATAATATAACGAAAAGTTCAAAATCATTACAAAACAGTTGCGAAATCAAGGGAAAATTTCCACGGAACACTTTTACATTCTGATTTACACGCATGAGAAAAATGTTTTCACTGTTTATTAATTTACAAATAATTGAATTCAAATTTTCATATTTTTGTAATATTCACTTTTATACTATGCTTTACTCTTACATTTGGATTTTTCTGTTTCAGCATATCACGAATTCCCTCCGGATCTGTTTACTCACGAACAAAGAGCTCATGGAGCTGTCATCATACATATTGCAGTCATCGTGTACATGTTCTATGCTGTCGCCGTAGTCTGTGATGACTATTTTGTAGCATCTCTAGAAGAATGCTGTTCGGTAAAGCAAAGTATTTTTTGGCTGATTATCCGAGAAAAACTTTTATTGTTATAACAAATTTTTTATTAAATCTATTTCTATGCTATTTAAATTTTGTGATGTGTACACTCTCGTTGTCTAAAAATTGAATATTAAAATGTCAGTTTAAGAAAGTAAATGACACACAAACCAAAAAGTATATGTTGCAGTAAGTTTATAAAAAAAACACTATTTCCAGTAATCTGCTACCCAAAGACTAGAACAAATATGAGAATCCACATATAATTTCAAAGAAAACACCACATATCATATAAAAGCAGACCGCCATTGTCCTTTAAAAGGAAAAATGGCCACCAGTGGATAAATTGTTAAAAATCCCTAAATACTAGTATTTTAAATACCGATCAACCTGTTGCATATGTATTTCCGTTTTTTCCCCCGTATGTGTAACATAAATTCGGGATATCGTGCAGAAAGTCCTTCAAGAAGGCAAATCTTCCGTTAAGCAGATAGCCCTTGTGTAATTTTTGTTATTCAAGTAATCTTGTAGAGACATTAGGTTAATTGGAAGCAGGAAAGATGAAAAATATGCAAACCGCCTTCGCCGGGAATCGAACCACGGACCTCTGGAATACCGAAACAGCTTGCAGAACCACTACACCACGAAGACACGCTAGGAAAGCGGGAGACATACCTTATATACTCCCCTTTTTAAAGGGCTATTAGGGTTTTAGGGGACCTAGTCGCCAAATTCTGGGTGTAGAGAATCATCATCCACAACCCTTTTAGTTCGGGCGCCACTTGTAGAGACATTAGGTCAATTGGAAGCAGGAAAGATGAAAAATATGCAACGGCCTTCGCCTGGAATCCTTATAATCTAATTTCACCTAAAAGAAAAAAATATGTTTTCTATTAAATATAATAAAGTAATCAAACAATGCAATTAGTAAAATATAAGCAGTCTAGGAAAGTAAAATGATTATTCAAATGGTAGTCTGATTTACTTTCATCTGATTTCAAGAAAACAGGCTGTTAAATTTGTAGGCGTTTTATGTCTTTTCCAGTAATTTCAATGCTAAGATAGAGTAGATAATAAAATGATTGGAATAGCAAAAAGGAAATGATAGGCTTGTAGAATTAGTTTCCTTTACAGGCGCTAAAATTTTTTTTAATAGGAGAGTTTTAAGAAATTAGATGTATTGGGACAAATTGAGTTGTTCGATTGTAGTTTAAAATGAAATGAATAAAAAAAATAAAAAAAAAAAAAAAAAAAAAAAAAAAAAAAAAAAAACTCAGTTGAGTTGGGTAAACGTTGCCTTCAAAAGTGAAAATGGTGGAGAGTATAATTGCAGTAATTAAAGTTTTTTAATTTATAAGGTATTTCTCCCCCCTTCCCTAGCGTGCCTTCGTGGTGTAGTGGTTCTGTACGCTCGGCCGGTATTTCAGAGGTCCGTGGTTCGATTCCCGGAGAAGGCATTTGCTCATTTTTCATCTTTCGGGCTATTCCACTAAACCTAATGACTCTACAAATTTAATAACGGAAATAAAATTTAAAATTTAATAAGAGAAATAGTTTAAAATGGGAAAAAATGAATTAAATTAAAGTAGTTTAGCAATTTGGAAAGAATTGTTTTGTAAGATTAATTTTAAAAAAACTAATGGACTAGATAATAAGTGGAATGGGAAAAGAAGAGAAAAATTGTGTATTTTCATACTGAGTAGTATTGAATTTGAATAATTTGAAGTTAAATGTAGTTTGTATTTAAAGAGGAGTAAAAAAATGAAAGGGAAGATGTAATAACAATAAAAAGTCTTCGTCTATTTGGCGTGTAATAGGACTAGAATACAGATTTTTATTGGTTAGTACAGAGATAGAGGGACCATTTATCTATATAGATATGATAAGATATATAGATATTTACAGTATTACGCATCCTTAAATCCCTCCATAGGCTTTGGGTTTCGTATCAAGTAACAAGAAAAATTAAAGCGACCTAACGTGAAGTGTTGGGAATAATAAAATAAAGAATATAATAATTAAAAGGAATTTAATAAATTAAATATATAAAGTTTATATAACGTTAAAAGAATTTTATATTAAAAAAGTATTTTATTTCCGGCCTTGGCGATCATTGCTTCAACAGCCGCATTAAAATGGAAAGAAAATCTGAAAGGTTTTAGATTTTAAATTATGTCCAAAGGGGTGTTTTTTTAACATTTTAAGAGTTACCTTTATTTATTAAATATCATGTTGTTCGCACTTAAACCATAAAATTCAGTTCAAGAGCAATATCGCAAAATAATTTTAAATTGAGCATATCTTTAGAAATTCCGATACACAGTCTCACGCGCTGGAGATAAAATTGTTTTTCTGTACAACGTTGTCATTGCTCGCTTTGAAATCCTTCGTTAATCAAAAATTCCTTGAAGTTTTACAAAGTATGAAATCAATAATGAAATAAATTTCAAATTTCGGTTTCCAGATGGCCATATTCGCAGTGGGATTACGTCATTCAAAATTTGATGGCTCTACATACCGTTGTTTTATCACAATGCGAGAAACATACATACATTTATGCAGATTCTTCATTATTTAATTCCTTCAAATATAATACAAAACGATAACATTTGGTGACAACAGTTTAATTAGTGAAACGGACAATCAGAGTGATTCGACGCAAAATCGCAAAACGAAAACAATAGTCCTTCAGGGACGAAGTCTCTTTGGACTAAAAGTGTAATTTTTAGATAGTGAAAGGTCTTCAGCATCAGTGCAGATATAAAGGAAAGTGGTGTTTTTGTTAGTGACATCTAAGGATGTAAAACGAAGAAAAACAATTTAAAAAATGTAAGTACGAAAGCATTACTGAAGCTTTGTTTCTTTGGTTTACTGAACATAGAGGTAAGGGTGTCTAATAGCTGCACTAATCTTGTAGGGAAAAGCCTTGAAATTCCAAAAGGAATTCGCTGAGGTGACCCTGACTTTATAGCTAATGAGCGTCGTGCGATAGGTGGAAAAATATGGTATAAGCAGGTAACTGCATATGGAGAAAAAGTTTCAGCAAATGGCAGCTAATCGTATGTGGAGAAAAACGTTCACCAAATGATGAGTCGGTGGAAAGCTTCAGAGATAAGTTTCGCAAGTTCTTCGCCAAGAAAAGCATTGGAGACCAAATTTTTAATTGCTATAAAGCTATTTCATTGAGAAATTACAAAATACTGCTTACAGAAAGCACTCGTAACTAAGTCTGAAAATGAGACATTTGGCTATAAGCAAAGCAAAGAATGTGTCATGATTCTTGCTTATAGTAATGCCCAGTAAACCTTAAAATTACTAAGACAGGAAAATCAAAAAAGTCTGATAGATTCAAGAATATTCCAAAACTCCTCTTCCAATCAAATATTTTGACCAGAAAAGTGTTTGGATGGGTTCAAAAATTTTCATAGAACGTGACTTTGTATCACAGACTGATAAAGTTTTGATGGAAAATAATTTTCCAAGAAAACCACTATTGCTTTTGAATAAAGCTTCTTCTCACCTGAATGAAAAACAATTTAGTACATAGAAATAAAGGCATGTTTTTACCTCCAAATGTCGCGGCAGTTTGCCGGCCCATTGGATCAATGCGTTCTGGAGATTTTAAAAGGAAATTATCGCAAGAATCTTTTGTCAATTTAAATGATTCTATAAATCAAGGGAAAGATATAATCGAGAATGTGCGAAGTTTGAATTTAAAGGAAGTTACCTATTACGTAGTTTGATCGTGGGAAAGTGTCAGCTCATCAAAACATGCAAAATCTTCGAAAGTTTTATTAGATGAACGAGAGGAACAGGAAGAAGAAGCACAAGAAAGTACCAGTTTGAGAAGGTTCATCAGAAAGACATATTGAATATACTACCAAACGTGTCTGGATGTGGTGGAACAGTGGAGCAACAGCGGAGGAATGACTTTCTCAAGATGAGGAATATTAAATGACAAACGAAGAAATCATTACTATGGTGCTAAAGGAGGACGATACAGAAAGTAATCAAAATGAAGCAGTGATAGCAGAAAGCGGCTATATAATTCTCACACCGAAGGACAGAAATCCTTGGAGACAATGTTGAAATATGTTACGCATCTGGAGAAAACTTCCTCAACGAAAGTTTTACTTCTGCAGAGACCGCAACACCTAGCTGGAAGAAAGCGTCAAACAGTTGGCAAACAAAAGCCATTTATCAAATTTTCTTCATTAGGTTTGACTATTCTTTGCATTTCTTTGTAAATTGTTCATGGTGGTATAAATTTGTAATTTGTTTTGTATATATTTGTAATTTGTTTTGTATATATTACAGTATAAATTTGTAATTTGTTTTGGAACACTATTGTATTTCAAGCAAAAAAGACAATAATTAAGTACTTTCCGCGATTTCAAGCTCAGTTTCATCTCTGGTGACTGTGATGCTTTCTTTCTACTAGCGTATATAAAATTATCGAAGTGATGATTTCGAGAATGGGTCGGATGTTTAACTTTTGTAAATGTATTTTTTCATGAATTTCTAAAACCTGCATTTAGTTGATAGAGCTAATTTATCGCCTGTTCAGAAAATCCCGTTTTGATTGAAAGAAAAACGAATATTCTTTTATGGGTGACTAATAACATTAAGTCTGAATACGAATTTTCAATATAACTTTTTAAAAAAATTAAAAGAACTCATAAATCTTATTATAGGCAATTGATGTATGATAACTGTTAACTTTGAAACCAACTGAATATACATTGTTACGAAATGTACAGGCGCGGTAAGAGGGCTTTCTCGCAAAGCAGTGTTAGGGTTGCCATAAAATGGCTAGGGAAGGCAAAGTTGCTATATTTGGCGAGAAATCGCCCATTTGGCTATATTTGGCGACAATTCAGCGATATACCATGGACTGATGGAGAACCTTCTGGAACGAGTTCTTACCGGTTTAGTTCTCGAACACAAGCCGAAAGCTATATAAACCCTGCTGGTTCGCAGTCCGTTAGTGTATGTCCCTCAT